TTGGTTTGCCGGTTCTTGGTTCCACACTTTGACCTTCAGGTATATAGCTCCTGTGACTCTAACTTACGCATTAGGATTTGTATTGTTCAAGAGATAGAGAGCCACCATTCACTATAGCCTTGAATATTCGATTTATTTATTTATTTATATATTTATATATTTATTTATTTATTTATTTTCTTCTTTTTGTGTTTTTTTTTTTATTCCAGAGGCGTCTGGGGAAGGGGGGCTGAGGGGGCTGGAGTAATCAGGGCTTAAACTCACTCCATTGAGTTTTGAACGCGAGATCTCCCGTAAGGGAGAGTGAGTCGGCGACCAGCTGGGCTGGACCGCTTCCTCTGAATATTCGGTTTATAATTCTCTACCATTCTCGTATTCAATAGCATTCAACATTCTCATCTAGTAGCTGATAGCGGGTTAAATGTTTTTGGAGCCAAATTTAAAAAATTCTACTCCATAAAATAATACGTTTACTATTTTATCTATATGAATATTTTTATGATTTTATATGGATAACATTTAAAGAAATGACTAACAAAGTAGTCATATTTAAAATATTAATACCAACAATGATAGTAGAATTTATATAAAATAAAAGTAAATGTAATTTTAAAACCTTTTGAAATTTTTTTTAAAAAATAATAGAAATAAAGTTAAGTTAAATATATATACTTTTAAATTGATATTCTTAATGGTCATTTCTCGTCTCTAACAGCTAATCGCACACACCTCCACACTTAAGTGGTTAAGTTACAAAATATTTTACTTCAAAATGTTCCACTCAGAATTTTAATAAAAATTTTGACGAATGTGTCACCAGAGCTTTATTTTTTTGACTCATTTGTCTTTGAAAGTTTTGTAGGGTGTGTTTCGGAAAATAAAGAAAATTAATTAGTATTTGTTACCTTAAAACGTCCTTAAAACGTATTTGTTGCCTCCCACGGTGCTAGGAGCGTTGCAACAATCGTTTCCCAGGATACGATGACTACGAACAATCGTTTGAGCACTCAAACGAATTGTCCCGGCGAACGAGAACAAGTCTGAACACTCAGGAATATTCAGAGGTAGCTGGAGGTGTTTTTTAGCTGAAGAAATACGTGAGCTAGTGTGTAAGAACGTATAAGATCCTGTAAGAACATGTGTTGTTGCAAACCACCTGCCAGCCATTGTTGTGTGCAAATGGTGAATTAATGGACCTGAACGTTGGACATCAATGACCAGTCCGTTGGGCATTGAATCGTCCATGAACTGCCCATTTAACGCTGCATTAAAAGATAAGAACGTTGAACATTAATTGATGTAACGGTTCAGAGGAAGAAAACAAAAATTAACCGTGTCTCTTGAGAGATAGATTTTTGGACGACATTCGTGTCCGCAAGTCGCCCGCGCACGCAAGTCGCAGTTTTTCTTCTCCGATTTCGGGATTTGATTTGCACCCCCCTGCGCGCGTGGAGAGAGCCTTTACCCTTAGGAATCTTAACTCCTTAAGAGGGATCCCTTTATAAAGGGTTGCAAATCTCTTGGGTTTTCTGGTGTGGGAAATAACACACTAGAAACCCATCCTTTTTCCCAATTTTTCCATTCTAACGGGTAAACTTCGAAAATCGATTTCTCATTCACCCGTTATCCGTTTTGAGCGTACCATATATCGAATTGTAGCCCTTAACAAGGACAATCCAAAATCACTTTGACCCGACCCAAATTGGAAGTGGACCCCACTCAAAAAATTGCCCCAAAATTACTATTTAATGCAATTTTCACACATTTTTCCAACAAGTTTTTCTCTTACCAATTTGGTAAATCACTCTTATTATTATTATCAATTTGGTAATTTGGCCACAATAACAAACCTGATTGGTTTGATAAACTCACCATAGAGATCACCAAGATCAGCAAAAGGGACTAAATTACAAAAAAAAACAGTGCTTAAAAGGAAGGAGAAAACCATTTTGTCCATGTAAATAGTATGACCACAGTAGTTGACAGCAGTTGCATGTTTCGTGAGGGTGAAAATGGGTGGACCAGTCAAAGTTGTTGGTTATCGTTTAGATGGAAGTATTAATGAATAAGATGAGAAGGCAAAAAGGGGGCGAGCACGGGAGGGGAGAGGGGGCATGTGTCCACCCCCAATCAGCTCCGGCCACGGCGTACGGCGCCTCGTGGGCTTCACGCGGCCCTGTCCAGGTGACCAGGTGAGCCCCTCCATCCTTAAAGCGCACACTCCACTACGTCATCCCAATCCCTTTAGATTTTCTTCTCTGTTCCTTTCCGCTTTCTTTTACTTGGTCCGCGCCTGGGCCTGTCCTCTTTCCTTTTCAACTACACTCCATTATCCCTTTAAAAATTTGTCTAAGTTTGATCAACACATAGTAAAAAATGTGTGGAGATAAAAGTTTATGTATAGGAGATTATCAAAATGAGCTACTTGCTCTGTTCCTTAAACCTTTATCAACTTTCCTTTATCGGTGGGTGTAGCTCAACTGGTAGTGAGGGAGTGCCACAAGGGTTAGGTCCCGAGTTCGAATCTCGGCAACTGCGATGAGAGTTACTCAACATAGGGCCTCTGCAAGTACTGGGGACGGAGTCCTACTCTCTATTTGTCAGATTGTGATTATAGTCCAATTTACATCCTCCCATCGTGCCGTCGATCGATGTTGGGGGGCCCTCAGGGATGGGGTGTCGTCATTTTTTGCAACTTTCCTTTTTTGAATGTTCCACTATATTTGTGATTCCAATTAATTCTTTTTCATCTGTACAAACCTCAACCACACAATTTTTACTTTATTAATCCCCGTGTCGGTCAAACTTGATAAAGTTTTATGGGATGAAGAGAGTATAATTTAATTGATTAAAAAAGAAAGTGACAAAAGTTTTCTGACAATCACACAAGAAAAATTGATAAAATTGTAAGGGCAAAGCACTCTCCATATAGAATATATAAATGTATTGTCTCGCAAGATCGAGCAACATAGCTATAGAAGAGTCACAAAAAGAAAAGCTATATATGACTCGTATGCTTCTAACTTCGTACGGATTAACATCATTTTATTTAGAAAACAATCAAAACAGTTGTACAACCTTTATTAAAAATCAAAGTTGAATGAGTCACGATAAGGTTGTATAATGGAGTATATTTTAACGGGTGCAAAACAATATTTCCACTTATATAAATGTGAGTGTATTAGAAAAGAAGAAAGGTTTAATTTTGTCGATCAATATTATAAAGGAAATTACATTAACTAATGAAAGAAGAAATTAAGGAAAAAACTAATGAAAAAACTAGAATTCAAGTTCTATTGTAATAATCGAGCATGCATTTATGCATTTACTCACACACACAAGAATTTGCACACACATAGAGGAAGTCCCGTCCAAACATGCCAATTTGAGTTGCTTTACGGTAGAATTTGTTTATTAAGTTTTCTGAGCATGTTCATTACGAAATGTTGATTATGTCCATACAAAATTCAGCTTATAATTCAATTGAAAAGTTAGTAAAATAAATTATTGAAAATTTTGGCACAATGTTTTTCAATAATGTATTGAAAATTTCCATAAATAAAAGTGAAACTCAGCATTTTTTTTAATAGGAGTACTATTATTTTCTCCCTGAAATAGGGTTCATCATGTGCTTCTATTTAGGAGCTTTTTATTCTTTAATTATGCTAAAAGGACTAAATAAATACGAAATACTGTTTTGATAAGAAAACATATTTAATCCCAATTTAGAATTTTGTCTCCGTTTACCACGATTTTGAAGCATTTCTGTAATCTTAAGTGTATAAATGATGTTGAAATAATTGGAGAATCAATTTATTAAAACAGTACCATTCTTTGAAGTTGAGTTTTCTTTAATCTCTCATTAATTGTAAAAGGGTTTACTAGTTGACTGTCCATTTTTCTTTACTCAATTTTTCTCAGGTTGAGGTGTTCACCTTAATTCCTGGTTGAACTGATGCTGAACATATTCTGGAAGATTGGGACTTGGGAGTAGTAGAATGAGACACACCACCAATTGAACTAATATGGGGTGGCATTCACTTATATTGGTAGTTGACATGATGTGCTGCTAGAAGAGTACTTTTCCAATTTAATTCCTGCCAACTACTTATTGCACTAAACATTTGATCACTCTAAATACTTCAAACTCTCACCTTTTGTGAAAATTATCCTAGGGATTTAATTTTCCCCCTTATTTTCTACTGAAATTTGTGTTTGGACACTATTGTAATACTCGGGTAATGAATATATACAACAAGTTTGATAAACCTTTTTAGAATGTCATGTTCCAAAAATTTTGTGAAATATATGTTGATTCCAAAATATGCCGGTATGATCTACTCATTGCAATAATAGCGAAAAAACATATTAATCATATTTTAGAATTCTACATTATTTTTATAGTTATTCCAAGAAATTCCAGAAATGGTTATATTGTAAATATGAATTTTACAGCATGCTTGATATTACTATAATTGGCCAAATCGATTAAATCTGTTGAAATTGATGAAATTATAATTAATGCGACTGAGTTGATTGATTGATTTGAGAGTGCCACGTGTGTAAAATATATTTTAACACTATGTAATAAAATAAAGAAAAAATATGCGTTTATAATTAAAATGACCTACCACATTAATATCCTAAAAAAAGTGACTGTAATATCACTTATATTATTGATTTACACAATTACATGTCTAACGTAAAAACTTAAGAAATCGATGAAAAATTGATTGACAAGATTGAGGAACTGAATTTAGAAAATCGGGCAAACTAAAGTTAAAAAAAGTTAAGGTGCAAAAAGCCAAAAACTCAAATTTAATTCTGGAAAATTATAAGGAGTAATTTTGATTCATCCCAATTAAAAATTTAATTTATTAATTATGTGGCAGGTGCTGGGCACGGGGAGCTGCTTTTTGGGTGGAGTTTTGTCATTACTGTTTGTTTGTTTCGACTAAGACAAATATCTACCTAGGACTTATATCACTTCCATTGATTCACACAATTCCCACAAACAATTCACTTCTCTCTTCCACAAACATTACACAACTCACCTCCTCTTCAGGAAACAACTCATCGGAGAACTGTTTGCCGGCCGGACCCAATCCACTATTCCGCCGCAAAACCTCTACTCTCCTCCTAGCTCCGGCATAATGGACCAAGATAATTTTCATTACTCCTCCACTGACGACCACAGGTTTGGAATTTTTTTAGTTCGATCCATTTTGGGTTTATTGTCACTATGGAACTTATGGATCTGGTCTTAATTGCTTCTATATGCTTATATGAGCTTGTCCATTGAGGTTGAAATTGACCGAAGCTGCTGAAATTTGTAAATTTATCATCGGAATAACTAAATTGGTTGAATCTATGGAGTATTGTCTATGTAACGGAAACTCTCGACAAAGACTACGTTTCCGTTTGAGAAACTCTACAGAAACTCTTTAAAACCTCTTTTAACAAGCGTTTTTTGAACAAAAATCGATGTTTCTTGTTTCTCGTTTTATCATGATTTTTGCGTTTCCGTATTACATAATCCTGTATTCAAAATTAAAAGTTTGAATAAACGGGTTATCAAATGGGGCTGTATAATGGCTAGTATGGTTTGTGAATTTATTGTTTCTTGAAATGGTCTTATCCCCATTTTTATTTTTCTCTATGGGTATGTAATTATGTATAAAGGTAATGGGTTTTTAGCTGCTTGATTGCTTTATTAGGTTTATTTTGTTTACTCCACTCTTTCAGAATTATTGAATTAAGTATCTTTTGGAGTACTTTTAAGTAATCCCAAGATTGGTTGAATTGAATAAAATTGGAAGGTATATAATCTCTATTAGCGCATTAGAGAAAAAAAATGCCGATCCTCTTAGAGTTCCTTGTACAAATGAACAAGTGGATAGAAAGTTAGGGGTCGAGATTGAAGAAAAAAGTGGACCCCAAGATCTAAGACTCCCTACCTTAATGACAAAGGAAACTTTATTAAAATTTGAACTACTAGAAAGTCTCAATAACATTCATATTTTCCCATTTGAAAGTAGGTGAAATTATGAATAGTAAAAATTAATACTTCCTCCGTTCTTAAATAAATGCAACAGTCAACATTTCACATTTGTCGAGACACAACTTTGACCATTAATATATTTAATTCTATATTAGTAAAAAAATTAGATTTTAAAACTTTACAATGAGACAAATTTAATAATATTTTTTTCATAAAAAATATTAATCATTAATAAATAAAACGTAGTCAAAGTAGAACATGTGAATAGTGTAAAAATCAACATGTTGCATTTATTTAAGAACGGAGGTAGTATAAGTTATTGAGAGTATAATGAGAAGATAAAGAAATAACGTGCTACAATGAAGGATAGTCTAAAAAAGTAATTATAATAGTGTATTATTTTCAAAATTATTGATGATATGTTTGAAAATTTTAGAAATGTGAAGATATAAATGTTAAGGTTGAAAAATGAAAGTAAGAAGATATGAATATTGTAGAGGGAGTATGAGACAATTTTAATGAGACAATCTAATGAGACAAATGGAATATTTTTTAACAATACTATTTGCATTATTAAGTAGTATTTGTTAATGAGCACGTGAATGAGCACGTGAAGTTGAAAAGTTAGTATTGGGGGGGATCTGTGGAGATACGGTTGGCAGTAGGAAACACTTTGTTGCCACGGGCACTTATTTGATTGCAAAGAATAAAAAAAAAGATCTATTTTTTCGTTTTGAAAATCAAGCAATTCAACTAAATAGAATGATATGGTCTATGCACCATATATGTTCATTAAATTGTTATTTTCTCAATGAACCCATTTACTTCAACCCCATTTATGTATTAAAATTGCTTTAATCATGGACTAATGCTCATTTGATTATTCGTTGATGTTTTGTTTGGCAGTAAACAACACAAGACAGCAGCTCTTCTGGCTAAGTTGAAGAGGAAGAAACGAAAACTTGAAAGTGAACAGCTTGGAGCTCCTCTTCCAAAGCAGATACGCGCTTACCAAAACTTCCTCAGAAAATATGGTTCTTTACTTGATGATGATGATGATGATGATATCCCCCAGGAGAATGAACATGAAGCTACCACCAACACCTCGGAGTCGGGAGAATGCAGCAATGGCATTATGGATGATGCTGATTATGTCACGTCTTATGAAACCAACCCATGCTCGTCAAATTCGTATGCGGGCATGGGTTACGATTGGCCAAACTCTTCCGAAAGCGGATACGTGTCCACAACACCATATTCGTATGCTGATTATCTTAACTATAACAATGGAGTAGATTGTAGTAGCTCGGGGTATGTGAATGAGAGAACCGAAATGTCTTCGGGACAACATGAACATGATGATGCATTATTCTCAAACGATGCGAGTCCCAACAACTTTGTTCTCTCATCCGGAAGATGGGAAGTAGGCCAACAAGGTATATCTCCTTCTGTGTTGCGTTTGTTTCTTTTCTCTCAAAAATATAAACATTAAGTTAGTATGTAAACATGTTTTTTGTGGATTGCAGATAGTGAAGAGAAGCTAACAATTGACAAAGAGTTTGAGCAGTACTTTGGCAGGCTTATGTTACAATGATAATATTGAGACAGCTTCTGCAATGTACATTGTTCAGTCTGTATACATTATTTTGTGTTGTAATAAAAACCATCAAACTCAGAAGCTCAAGCTTGTAAAGGGAGGGAGCACATCTTTATTTTTGCTTGGGAGGGATGCCTCAACATGATGGTGGCTTAATAGAGTAGATTTTCCATTCCATATTTTTTAATATTAGTCAAATTAATTTCTTTTATGAGCAAAATTGACTCTGATGCCATAATAGAACACCCATTGTTCTATACTTCTACGTTAGATGATAGACTTCTATAAAGTTTGAGCCTAAATATCTTATGTATGGGCACATTTTTAGTACTATATCTTCTTTTCCTTGTTTGAATTCAACATCATTAAGTAGTTATCAATTTTAAATGAAAGCCAAAAAAATTTAGAAAATCATAAATAAGAAGTCTGAGACCTAAAAAAGGCTGCCCAACTGCCCACCCATTCCATTTTCATGGTCCATACCATTTTAAAAGAATATTGGGCCCGCAACTTAAACTTATTTTGTGTGATACGAAGTATCCTTTAGACAATAGATAAGATGCAAAGTGCACCGGGTCATGGCCTGGTATGGCCTCCCTTCCATTTAGTTGCAAATAAAAATAACCACAATTTTACAAGTGACACGCTTTTGACAGACTTTCTCGCCATCTTCCCAAAACGAAGCACGTGTAGATTGCCAAGACAGAAATATTATACTCCATTAGTTCCACAAATATTTTTGCATGATATACCGGTCTCAATATGGTGTCATTATTTAGTTAGGAAATCCAGTATATAGACTTCTCCATCCATAAATTCTTCTTTGTCAATCTTTCCTGTCTTCTCCTTCGCCAATCTTTTTCTACTTTTTTTCTTTCATTTTTGTTCTTTTTTCTTCAATCATCATTTTTTTTGAGAGAAATCATCTTCTTCTTATTCATCAAAATATTAATAATCTAACCACAACTTGACTTTTCTTCTTCAAAATGAACTTGGGTTGTTTGACCATCCATCAATTGAAAATTGAAGGTTGAATTAATCTAATATAAAAATTTATATTTGTACTTGAAGACATGTAACATTTCTTCAAGTTTTTTTGAAAGAACATTTCTTCATGTTATATACAAGTACCTTAGATTAGATCAGACAACTTGCATTTTGACGTCTCAAATTACATTTCCACCTAATGTGATTTATATTTCGTCTTGTCTCAAGTTACATTTCCATTAACGTCATTCACATTTTGAATGGCCTCAGGTCACATTTCCATTAATGTTATTTACATTTGGGCTTGAGTCAAGTTCCACTTCAATTAACGCGATTTACATTTTGATTTACTTGAAATTACATTTTGCATACACATGTTTTACATTTCATATATGAAAAGAGAGTGAATAACCACCGCAGGGAGAAATGCAAGATACATTTCCCATTATGAGATTACATTTGTAGCAACAAGAGTTACATTTTAGAGCAAGATATTTACATCACGAAAAATATTTGAGACAAAAAAACATTCACTGTTCACCCGCTTTTCTTTAGTCAAAACTTTAAATTTAAATGATGTCATTTTAGTTGGGAGTATGTTGTTCACCATGGATCACTCCTATGGTATAACAACTGTAATTTAAGAGTCTTCAAACGTTTTGAATAAGAAAAACATGTATATATATTTAAATTTATTTCTCTATTCCTTATACATATGTTAAGTACAAATGTTGAAGTGTTAGACGTAAATAATATCAATGGAAAAGCAATGAACTAAAGTTTAACACATAGAGCCGGTTTGGTGACCTTTTTTTTGGCTTATCAGGCTTATCAGTCAGTTTTTTCACCAAACAAGTAACTTTTGATTTCGCGCGCTGAGTTATGTAATAAGCAGGATAAGTAAGGTTGGAGTTACTTTTCTGGCTGTATTGGCTGAAGTTACTGTAGAGGATCATTTTAACTATTTTTTCATATAATTTTTTATCTTATTTATTAATAACAAATATTTTAAATATAATTTTTTCATTAATCAACAGAATCAACCAATACAGCCACTTCACCCAGAACTTTATAAATTTCAACAGAATCAGTCAATTCAGCCAATTTTAGTGTTACCAGCTCATAAACTGGTATTAAAAAGTTTCAAATTCAAGATTAAGATGACTTTTATATTTTATATTAATGTGACTTTTATATTCTTTATTAATGTGCTTGGTGACCCTAACCCCTGCTGCATCAGTGACCAAATACCACTGGTTGACGGTTACTCTGGCTCTCAAGTGATCTATCACCCTAATGATCGATTACGTTGTCGCAGTGACTCCAATGCCTTAGTGAGAGTGATAACTGATAACATTATAGCCATTGACTTGCAACCCACAGGCCACAACACAAAGACCCAGTGACTGCGGCAAAGCAGTGACTCCACCATCGCTTATACCCCAGTGGCCACACTAGTATGCGATTTAGTGACCTATTATTTCCGGTGCCCAGTGACCCCACTGTCCCAGGTTCCATAGTTACCTATTGCTTTAATTTGTTCTCCCACTGAGCCAACTTCCCGGACGATTCAGTGACATCTATTATGCCTTTAATTTGCCTAGCATTCCTGTCTTCTTTACCGCCTTTGCTACTCTACACCACTAAGCTAGAATAACAAATATTTTGTGCGATCATTTTAACCTATTTATTGCTGTGAAGAGCCGCAACAATTGGCGGGGATGCATAATAAAATGAAGAAATATTTGCTGCAAACTGTAGCTAATGGCCACTTCGATCAACCCATTGCTTGAGGACGAAATGCAAATCGGCCTCGACCTTTCTCAGATCTTAAATTTAAAGGATCGATTATGGAGAGTTAGTGGTGTGTCTAAGCCGTGTAGCGGTGTAGACCAAGGTTTTAAATAGCCGTAGCGGCAGCGGTAGCAGTCATCGCGGTAGCGGCCTGTTGCCGACTGTAGCGGTTGCAGCGACGTGAAATATTTTCAATTGCGCAAAACATAAATGTATTTTTTCACATCATTCACACAATATTTAATTTTGAGTTTCACTCCATACATCACCATTAATGTATTTTTTCACATTATTCACACAACATTTACACATTTACACATCAAGCAATTCGTGATGTATTGCCGGAAATGTTAATAGCGGCCTGTAGCGGGCCGTAGCGGTGGCTGCCTCTACTGCGACCGCTATATAGCGGCCGCTATAGCAGTAGCGGACCGCTATTTCAAACCATGCTGTAGACACAGTTGATTTGGGTGATAAATAGTGAAATAATTGAGAAGCAGCAATAGTGTAGACGGTTCTTAAAAGATTGGTGAAGAGGGAATGGATCAACAATGATGGAGAAGCAAAACAAATGAAGATAAAAAAGAAGGGTGGCAATGTGGAATGGAAGAGGCGAAAGTCATGATTGAAGTATATTTGAGTTAATTGAGTTTTAAAATGATCCTATTAATTTCCAACTCAAAATCTAGTCATATGTGTATCCCTAGCAAAAACAATTTTTTAAATTGAAAATAAAGTCATACTTTTCTTATTTCATTTTTCAGTCAACTTTTGCCCTACTTTTACCTACTTATTTCATTTTTCCATGTAAGTCAATTTTGACGAAATTTTATGAAATTCGGGAAGTATATACGTAGCATATAGAAAGAAGGTATGATACTAATAGGATATACTACATCAATAATTAATGTGGCAGAAACTACACCATCCATAATCATTTCACACAGAAAATTGTCCAACAAACTGTAGGAAACGAGGGCACATATATATACTACTCTAGGTAAATATCCCATATATCTATGAAAACTTGGACAAGAGCTTAAATTCAACTTCCACAATGAGGGAGTCATCTACCAGGAAACCCTTGGAAACACTCTCCAGCTGGGCAAGACTCATAAACTTGGAATTGCCAGAGCAGCAAGAAGAGCTATGAAAAAACTGTTCCACTGCACAGTTGAACACAAAACAAAGAGAAAGGCCTAAGAAAAGTCTGCAGATGCATATATAATTAAGCAGGCTAAAAGGAAACTGCTTAGTTAATTAACCTTGTTCTTCGTGATGCTCGTTGTTTACTCGGTCAAGAACCCGTAGCAGGAACTTGGCATATATTTTTCTAGCAAGAGGAGTGAGGTCCGCGAAATCAGCCAAAACCAGGAAAAGGGACAAACTTCGGTCCTTTTCACTTGAGTCTCCACATGGATAGAGTTGTAGTTTCCTGTGGAGTGGAAATGTTTAAGTCTAGTATAATTACTTTTCAGACCAGAGAATCCACCCTTGCTATCAAACGAGCCGATGGAGGTTCTAAAGTCAAGTTTTGCATTGATTGTTTATGAATATATTTTTTATGTTTTAGGATTAGTATCTAGTATAGTTTTTGAAAACATTAATGGAGATAATATGTTGTATGTACGTACAACAATGAGGGATTGATCGAGGTGTTAAATGCAAACAATAATTACTTGTCAAGCAAAACAAAGAAAAAAAGTACCATTTTCTTCCTTCAACAATGAACTGATCAGAGGAAATTGATGGGTGTCTCTTCTGTGCTGCAAAGTTTTTCACAGTCCATGTATAAGATCGCCCCATTGGCTCCTTTACCATTGAAAGAAATTCATGTTTTGTGGCATTGGAAACCGCAAGAATCTCAGCTCCAAAAGCACAAGTGTCAGCGAGCAAATACCCTTTAGAGGGGTCGTTGAAAGTAGACAATGGAAGTAACTTATCAAAACCCCATTCGGTTTTCACACAGTTGAACCTCCTCGTTTTTCTACCTGCATCTGTTTATGTACATACGACAATAGATAATAATAACATTAAGCTATACTAAAACGAATAATAAAGTTTTACAAACTCTTTAATAAATAAAAGATTTTTTATAATTCATAGAATTAGACAAAGTATAGTATAATTATGGTTTCAAAATAAAAATAAAGAAAAAGTGAAATATTATTTAGATCAATTTCTTATTGAGCATTTTGGAGAGAAATCATGAACTGAACATCATGTTGTACATTACACATAAGGGAATGTCAAGTACATACATATTGGTGTCGAAAGACTTTTTGGGAGCATTTTTTTACTTTGGCCTTTTTATCTTTTATTTAACCATTTTTTTACTTTCCAGTCAAAATGGTAAATTGTAACCAATTATTTTAACTCATGCATATTAGTTTTTCTAAGTACACTTTCTTATCATTTTCATATATAATCACTTTCATTTTCATATTTATATGACTACTTATATGTATAAAAATATATAATCAGTCAGATTTAGATATCATTGACTTGAAAAGTGAAATTTGGCTAAATGAAAAGTTAGATTTGGGTATAACTCATATTATATCAAACCGGTATTGGATATTTTAATACGCCTTATTTAAATTCTAATTTTCGTAGGCAGAAGGCAGTACTCCGTACATATATTTACCTTTTTTCAACAAAATATATACCATAAAATTCCATTAAAAAGACTAAACAATAAAACAATTATGCAACTCTAACGTACGTAGTGTAGTTGAGGGAAATTACCTTGGAAAGCCAAATACTTGTCATTGAAATGGTCATACACAAAGAGACAAAACTTTGTGTGAATCTCCCATCCCCCAGGAAACTTTTCAGTGTCAACAATTTGCAGGTAAAGGGAAATATGGTCATCCCCCTTTGCTTTCTTGTTTCCTTTCGGATAAACGCACAACTTCCTACATAAACATTATATGAATACACCAAGAAGCACAACAATGTAATTGTGACACTATATATTTACACCTTATAGGTACATATTGGGAATGAACATATATAGAATGATGAGCAGTAGTATAACTGTGATACCATTTTTTACCGCAGGCTTCAAAAACACCAGATTCAAACATGTCATATTTTGTTTCTGAGAGCAAAGAAAAGGAAGAAATACGGAAGATGAAGTGGGTTGGAGGCATTTCCCTGCTCCAACTTTCGACTCCTGTGGCAGTAGAGCCCATACTTTTGAACCTATATTTCCCTATTACACTCTCAAGCTAATGTTTGTGAAACATATAAGGAGCTGAATGCCTATATCTATCTACGAACTATTAACTATATATGTATGCACTATCATAATATATATACTGTAGTACTTTTTTTTTGAAGTACAGTTTGGGAATCGAGGAGTCGGGGGATTTGGAGGGTTTAATTGTTACCGAGTGTAACTTAACATAGACTAATAAAAGGTTAGAAATTAAATGAATAGACATACATGCAATGGGTTGTTGGAGTACTAGAAATCACTTTAATTTACACTAGGGGTTATTTAGGTAATTCAATTTATTAAAATTTACGTACTCAAGCACTTATATGTCTTTTTACCTACTTAAATGTCTTTCATATACAAGTGAACATCATTATGAAACCCGCAGTCTATATAACTATAAGACTTTTATTTCTTTTTATTATATATGTTATTTTGTGAAGTATATAATTTAAATGTTCAAAATATTAATCCCGTATTTTTTGTCCGAATTTTTGTAATATATACCGTATTATGCGCGCTTGTATATGTGTTTACACGTTTTTTAAAAGTCAATGTTTTTTCCAACATAATTTTGATCATTTTTTTCAAAATCAATATTTTTTTAATTTTGGTACCGTATTTAACTAACTAGGGAATGAGTGAATCCTTAAGAATGAACTTGTTTGATGAACTTCCCAATTTTCTAAGTTCCATTAATTGAGTGCAATTTTGTTCACCCCTCCTTGGAGGACGAAGATCACCCCTTTAGCTCACATGTTGCCATTTGGCATTCCATTTCGATTTTTTTTTTTTAAATTATATACTTTTTGTTTATGTCTTGATTTTTTATAAAAACATATATCAGGTTTAATAATTTTTTCAGATCTTTCCAATGGTATCATTATGATATATAAAAAAATTGAAAAAAAGATAGTTTTTTCTGAATTTCATTTTTAGCTAGCTTTTTTTTTTTTAAATTTGTTATATGCAATATTTGTATATATTTTTAAAAAATAAAAGAACATGATATATTTTTAAAAAAATTGGATTAAAAAGAAAAAGTTAAAACAAATGCAATATAATACTTCATCTGTCTCGTTAAAATTGTCTCATTTTACCTTTTTGGTTCGTCCCACTAAGATTGTCTCATACCACATTTATTAAAATTTGTATGACACTAAACCATTCTTACTTAATTCTTATTTATCAATTCAATATCAACCATATACACCATTTTTTATTGGTTTACGTGCAATTCCCCTTGTCCCATTATTAGTAGGACGGAGGGAGTAACTATTGCCTTGTCACATGACAAGTAAATAGGGTGGGGTGATGTTCACCTCTTTCAAAGGGTGAACAAAATTGATTTCCCATAAATTTGGGACGGCCCAACTAGAGTAACCAGGAAAGTATTCAGCCACTCAAGGATTTAGGGATTACACAAACTAAATAAGGGGCGATTGGGTCATTATATTGTAAGAAAAAAACTGTAGAAATATATAATACTAACACGAAAGCCACACAATTTCCAAAATAAAATCCATATACATTCCATGATTCCATCTAGAATTATATGGTAATAAATGTCGTTGGTAATTAGAAAAGTATGATGTTCTTGAATAATGTTTTTTAAAAGTTAAATGAATTTAACTATTTGAAAACATTTTTAGAAAAATTGAAATAAATGGTAATAAATCAAAACGTTTATTCACTTCTACGTCACGCCTTCAAAGGCTTATGGTTTTGGTGTGCCGCTTGGATACGACTTACACTTTTTAAAACATCGATGAAATGCATATAATCTATGAATATTTAGATATGAGCTTGAATTCAACTTCAACAATGAGTGAATCTTTAACAAGGAACCCATTCGACGAACTTTCCAATTCGCTAAGTTTCATAAATTTGGGATGGCCCCAGCTGCCAGCTTCATCACCAAAGAATTTAGCCACTGCACGATTTAGGAACATGGCAAAGTAAATAATAAGGTAAATCATTGTAAGAGGAAAACAATACGGAGTATTAATTTGACAAGCTAAAACCAATTCAAGAGTCAAACCTTCTATTTCTTTATGTTTGAGGATGACCAAATGATTACAAATTCGCAAAATAAATTTGGCATATATTTTTCTACCATGTGCGATAAGGCCTTCAACACCCAGCAACTCTAGAAAAAGGGACAAATATTGGCCATTTGCTCTTGAATCTCCACTTGGATACAGTAACAATTTCCTGTTCAATTTCTAGGTTACATGACCTTACTCATCATATCCTTCCCACAATTAATTTACTTTTCAAATTTGACCATTACAAATAAACTACGGAGTACTACTTTAGTAATATCCACTCTTTACCGTCCAGTCAAGGTCCTTTGAAACTCTTCCCGGTGAATTTTTTTGATGAATTTTTTAATCATGTTATTCATCAGGTCCAGTTTATGCCCATCAAATTAAATCTAACAATCAATCAGGAATTTAGTCAAATGTGGCATTGAAAAACACTGCGCTGTTTATCTATATAAAGCGCAATGCTTGTGAATAATTTACTTAAATGTCATGGCTGTTGAATTTTAATCTGAAATTTGATGGGTACAAACAAGACTTGATGAAGAACATGCTTGAAAATTTTAATCAATAAATTTCATCAGAAATGACCCCAAATGGCCTTGGCTGGACGACGAATCATGTCAGACCGGCCTGACAGGATCGCTATTCTAAACTCCGTATTAAAACAAACATTCAAAAGTACTTTCATGCTGTGAAAATTTTAATCAATAAATTTCACCGGAAATGACCCCAAATAACCTTGGCTGGACGACGATTCATGTCAGACCGGCCTGACAGGATCGCTATTCTAAACTCCGTATTAAAACAAACATTCAAAACTACTTTCATGCTGTGTTGTAAGACCCGAACCGGACCGGCCGGCTCGACCCGGAACCCGGTCACCCGGCCATGTGTCCAGTCCGGTTGAGCTGCCGACCGGAAATATGGTCAAAACCGGATTTAACCGGTGACCCATTTAAACTCGGGACGGACCCGAACCGTTCCAAACCCAGAAAATGAGAAAATCTAGAGAAAACCTTGCCCATGGGATTCGATCCTGCGCCTCAAGCTTCAAATGATGGACTGCAAACCAACGAGCCATACTCGGTTGTTGTGTACGTAGGTTGTTGAGGTTGCTTTATATCTTATTTGTCTAGAATGTTTTTATAAAGTTCGAATAATTGGCTTATTAATTAATTAATTTATAATAAAAATACTAATAAATACACATAAATGCTGTTATTATACTTCCTAGTTATGTATTTATTGTTACGACTTTTTCATATTTTGTAATTGGTATAATGTTCATCTTTATTATTAATCTAAATTTCAATGTTTTTTTAAATCAATCTACTTAAATACAATAGTTTTTTTTAGATTGCTTATATTGTATTATTATTATTAAATTGTGAAGGAATATAATTTTTCTATTTAAGAATTTAATCCTTTATATAATTAAAATTAATTATTTGTATTGTTGTTGACCGGGTTTACCGGTCGTTGATCGGGTTGACCACTTGACCCGTGACCCAGTCATCTGTCCGGGTCACCCTCCGGTCCGGTTTTTACAACATAGCTTTCATGTTATATTTTAAATTAATACTCCCCCTTCATGTCTTACAACTTCAAGATCATCTTTGACCTTCTTGTTTAATGGTGGTAGTATTGATCAATAATAATTTTTTTAGTTATGGGTTTTATACTAGGGGATTAGACATTGCTCTCCATTTTTTCGACCATATTGAATGGAATCATATTTTAAAAATCATTAATGTGTGCACTCCACCTCAAAAAATATGAAGGAATGCGGTGAAAAATCATATGATTTTGTATTGAAATGGGCTACATACATGAATAATTTTTTAAATAGAGTGCAAAGTCCAAATAACCCAAAAATGAGGTGGTGCTAAGTCGAATTCTGTCTTCATAAAAAACATTTTCATATATTATTATCATATTATAAAATAATTTTGTATATAATTAAATATATGTGAAAGTTTATACTTCGTATCATTGATCAAGAAAGTTGTAAATAGAGGGAGTATAAATGATAGGGAAAATACAAAGTACTTGTGATTTGGGGCGTTTCAAATAGGGGCATGAAGTTTGTTTTTAACAAAGTGAAGCATGTGCTTTCACTTTGAGGATTTCCATCTAAACGCCGTAAAAAAGAAAACGACGTTGATGTATAAAAAAGTGACACATCACTTTCTTTTTGACAGAGTTTAGATGGAAATCATCAAAATGAAAGCAAATGCCCAACTTTGTGAAAATTGAAGCTCATTCCCTTATTTGAAAACGATCCAAATCACAAGTATCTTTATTGTACTTTTTCCGAAACGATAAATCATTGAACACAGTATAATATCCGTAGTCATGAATAAATCATCGAACAATAATACAATAGTTTACCATTTGCTTCCTTCGACGATGAACTCATTAGAGCGAGTGTAAGTCTCACGCTTTTTTAATGTGAGGAAGCTTTTGATTGTCCATGTGTAAGTTCCATTCTTAATTGGTGCCTTCACCAAAGAATAGCATTCATGTTTTGTAGCACTTGAAACGGAGAGAATCTCAGCTCCAAAAGCACACGTGTCATTGACCAGATATCCGTTAGAGGGATCATTGAAAGTAGACAAGGGAAACAACTTATCAAAACCATATTCCGTTTTCATGCAATGGAACCGCCTTGTTTTTCCACCAGCATCTGTGCAAGCACATATGAATATTACGCACAAATATTGCGTATATACTTAGTGACACGTCTATAAGGAGAAGAATATCTTGTGACTTTTTGCCACTTTCGGTGTTCCCGCTAGTGTGTCAATGACTTTTTTTATACTCGATTTTTAATTTTTCCATTTTTAATCGTCGATTATTGTGCTAGATACTTTAAGTTCTTTTATTATGATTTTGACACAATAAGTTGAAGATTAAAATGTCACAAAAAGTGTCTATTATTAAAATAGAAGCACTAAATACGGATATTTTCAAAAATGGGTACAAAAAATGTCTCTAGCACAATAGTCGAGAAATAAAAATGAAAAAATCAAAGTCAAGTACTAAATGTGTAAAAAGTGACATAATAGTTGGAGGACTAAAAGTGGCAAAAACTATAAATAAGACTTATTTATTGTTAAATGGGGAAGAATAGCTTATACTTTTAATAGGACCATATAAGCACTATTTTGGCAATGAAAAATAGACTGTTCACTATCTGTATTTGGGTCCTTTTTAGAGTAATTTTTTAAGAATAAAACATGCACAGAGTCGCAAACAGATTTTATTCTTCTTAGTTATATTATTGACCTTTTTTGGAAAACTAAAGAAAATATATATTTATTAAATAGAGAATATTTCCTCTATAGGTAGATCAGATGACGCATTCCGTGGAAAAAAAATGAGTATCATTATATTATAAGAAAATAGTTACAATCATTCTCTACAATAAATTTAGTCAATTCAACAAAAAATGTAACTCCGACGTTACGTATTTTGATTATTACACAATTCAACTCGCAAAATCAAAAGTTTCATATTTTCTAAAAAAGTTGGTTGATAAGTTAAAAAAGGGTCACCGGATGATGACAGTTTTTATTATAATTTTACAATAATTACAAAAAAAACTGTTTAAATTTGGATTAATTACATAAAAGATCTCAAATGCATCCTAACCAATGATTGAATGAAACCAAATATTGCGATCAAAAGTTATCAAATATGGGTTCTCCTTAGAATTTTTAAATACCTTGAATGGTCAAGTATTTATCGTTGACATGGTCATAAACAAAGAGGCTAAACTTCGCGTGCACCTCCCATCCTGCCGGAAACTTATTATCGACAATTTGCAAGTAGAGGGAGATATGCTCTTCATCCTCACCTTTTGCCCTCAACTTCCCCTTTGGATAAACAACACAAAGTCTCCTGAAACCAAATAATATACGTACAGCACAGTCCACAAAGTCCAAAATTAATCAAGCAGTAAGTATGTACGATTAATTAGTGGCATTAGAGGCATAGCCACAAAAACAATACTAGGTGAGCCCTAGAATGGTCCGTCTTCTAGGAGGTGCCTACGTGCTTGACAACAGAGCCCACTTTTATAGAGAACCCCAAAATTTAATATGTATCTGTAGTATAGATTGATTTTTCTAGATGTTAGTATAATTCAAGATTTTAAAAGGTGTATAACTTTTAGATTGTCTAATTTATGTACTTTAAACATTATAAGAACTTATTGAAGTATGTACTTTAAACATTATAAGAACTTATTGAAGTATTTCACTGAACTATCTAGTTTATTTGTATTCAATTGTTAAATTTGTATTTTTTCTAGAGGTGGGAGGACTGGAAGAGCCTAGACGGCAACCTTGGTAGTTACGCCAATGGGATTAATGAAAGAACAAAAGAAATAAAAGTAAAAATTTCCGAGTATGTAGTAAAGCAGCATATACATATATCACTACAAAAAACATAAGGAATTGACACTGTTTTGATACGGATTGATCGATGATTTTGTTCAAAATCATTTTGACACAAATTTGGCATATCCCGTAAAAGATTCTTGTTAATCCCGTGTTTTGTTGTAGAGTGTGGGCACACGGAGGTTTACCATTTTATATCGCAAGCCTCAAAAACACCAGATTCAATTTTGTCAACACCAGTTTCAGAGAGTAGAGAGAATGATCGTATCTTGAAGAAGAAGTGGGCTGGGGGCATATCCCTGCTCCACCTCTCCACCCCGTCTCTGGCCGCCGTTGAACCCATATATATACTGCGGATGATATATGGACTTATGAATACTACGTGTATATATATAGCTTAAATCGAGCAAACCGTACCACTGCTCCTCCACCATTTAGGTGCGTTTATATAGTGGCCAGGTATCAACAGGGGCTATGGTTAATGCTTGTGATCAGATAACCCGCGGAAGGGGGTCTTTAATTACTGTAAAACTAGGATTGTAATTAGGGCAATTAGGGTGGATCAAGGAATTTTACTTGTGCTGACTTGAATAGTAAGTAAAGGTTTAAAAATTAACAGATGGACTAAGGATGTTTTTACTTGGATTGTAATTTGGTGGTCTGGTCTGGTCTGGTAAGGTCTGGTTTCTTTGTATTTTTATAACTCTCCAAGTCTGGTCTGGACTGTTCTGGTCTGATCTGGTCTAGTCTGGACTGGTCTGGCCTGGGAAAAATTACAGTCCAAGTAAAAACATTAAGTATAAAAAATGATAAAATTTACACTAAATAAGTTGAAACAAAATACATTACCGTGAGCCCATAATAGCCCTAACCTAGATAATTCAATGTTCGGAACCGTGGATCTTGAAGTCGTTAAATAGGTGGATGGAACCTTCAACTTTTGATACATGATGTATTTAATTTGGATTTAATTCTGCTTCTGCGTCTTTTTTAAAACAGAATTTTCCCGAAATACGAGTAAATATGTTTGAGAATTTTAAAATATGACTTTTATATTTTTATTTCTAAATAGGAGTAAATTAATGTTAAATTTCGAAAATACAGCCATGTTTAAAGTTTGTTACTGTCAAAACATAATAGTTATTACTCATATTTTGTAATTAAAAATATAATAGTACTATTTTCAAATATACAAACGTTTTTAGTCCTACTTACGATAATTTGATTAATTTCCCTTTTTTCAAAACAGAAGTACAATCACAAGGGTAATTTCCAGAAGCTATAATCTCTCCCAACTTCTAAAAACCGCTTCTGGAAGTATATTGGAGTATTGAGATATACTTGTACACTTTCACCCAAACACTCCAACATCTTCTTCTGATCCTTGGAGGAGTAAAAAGTAATTTTAAGAATTGTTTACCAAACAACGTTTTCCGCAATTGAAACGCAAAACCAGTCCAACATGCAATTTTTTTTTGCTGAAAATCGGATTTCCAAACACACCCTACCATACGTGATCTGATCCATTTACTAGGATGCTCTTGCATATTGTTTGGGCACTTTTGCCTATGGGACCGATCAAAAAAGAACATGAATTTGTGAGATTATTCCCAAAATAGGACTAAATAAATCATTAATTACTCAAATAGGATTCAAAGTTAAAATTTCCGCAATAGGAGCTAATTTTTGGAGTTGAAGAGTAAAACCCTCAAGCTTGTCAAAACAAGACACCTGACCTCCACCCGCCGCCGGCCGCTAGAGGCAACGAAGAATTGGCCGCCGCTGCACATCTGGCAGCTGCCGGTTCAGATCCAGCCATCACCAATTGTAGATCTGACCGCCGACACCATAGATCTGGCCGCCGACACCGTAAAACTGACTCCTACCGCGGATCCGGGCTCCGCTAGTGCAGATTTTCGTTGTCACTGGTGCCAACATTATTATACCAATGCCAAAATGAATCCAAAATGATATGTTAATGGCATTTTCAAAAGAAACGATGGCATTTTTAAGAGTAAATGAAAATGCCATTTTAATGGCATTTTTTAAATAAAATTTTACATTTTTTTAAAAATCAAATGAAGAAGATGAACATTGAGTTTTTGTCATCGTTGAGTGCATATGAATTGACGAAGAGGGAGAAAGGAGAAACGAAATAGAGAGGAGAGATTGAGGAAGATGAACAAGAAGCAAGAGACATGGAGAACAACGAGCCTGAATTTTACAACAGATCTGAACTTTCGCTCGTCGTTGGCCGCTGCACAACTCTCTCTAACGTTTGTCGTCGCTCTTTCACAGCTTGCCACTCGCTTCCGCTGGTCTCCAAACCTTCGTCGTTCGCCGACGTTTGCTATTGCTCACCGCATCTTGCTGCTGTTCATCACATTGAAAGTGCCATTGTTGGAGAGTTGCGCAAGTGTGAAAACAAAGAAGGGCGCAGGGGTGAGTGGAAAACAGGGGTTTGCCCGATTGAATTAAATTGAGTGGTAAATTGGTACAATAGTCCTATTTAGGAAATAGAAGTATACTCACTCCCATTTAGGAATTTAAGCAACGTGCATTTTAATCCTATTTAGAGAAAAAAAATCTGAATTTGTTCTCTTCCATTACGTCATGTTATATGTTAAGCCATTAGGTCTTGCAAGCTTGAAATTAGTGAATTGAATTAAGATAAAGTCTAGAATACCCTCATATTGAGGGTACCGTACTTGTGTGGTTAAATAAGAATATTACAATCGAACAATTTGAATAATAATATATTACTCGGTATGAGATAAGAACTTGGATCAATCAAACATATTGGTACGGTATCGCCATTTATTCATTAGGAATCGTAGCACTAAGTACATTTAATTAAATCATGTTAAATTAACCTTAATTAAGTGGAAAACAAATTATTTCTCAATAACGGCAGGGCCCGCCGGCCTGCCAACCCTAGCTGCGAGATGGATCTGACGGTGCACTGGATCGACGAGCGGCTTCCCTCACTAGCTTCAGCCTGAGAAAGGAGACGAAACCATTAACGTGGAGACTTGGTGCTAATTTCCGTTTGGTGCCCATGTTCTGTGTTCTTCTTTTTCGTCGTGTTTCAATCGATCATAACTTCTTCTCCAAGTGTCTTAGTCCCGCGGCTTTGTTTCTGGCTCAATTTGGTCGAGGTTGTTTGTTGTGCTTCCTGTTCTGAATGAACGACTGGAGCTATTTCGTTCTCGTGAATTACAGTGTTTTCTTTTGAATTTGTTCACATAGTTCAGTGTTTTCATTTGCTTTGAGTCTGTGGATTTTAAATTGTGCTATATATGATGGAAATGATCTCGAAGAATAATGTTAGTATGATTTTAATTGCCGAGGAAGAGAATAGGGATTTGGTGTTAGCGGTTGACCCGGTAGAGAACGCGGATGGGACTACAGAAGGGTTCAATTTAGCTGTTGTGGCTAGAGTACTGGATTCCGACAAACCCATTTGTGCCATTTCTTTTTGTCAAACAATGGCTATGGTTTGGTGACCAGTCAACGGGGTCTCTATCGATGAAATTGATCAATTATATCATGAGGACTCTAAATTCCTACTACAATTCTATCATGAAGGAGATCTTAACAAAGTTGTTGTTGAAGGGCCTTGGTCTTTTGAGCAGAATCTTGTGGTTATCAAACGATTGGGGCATACTGATAAACCTCTGGAGGTTACACTGGATCATGCAGATTTTTGGGTTCAGGTACACAACCTACCGTTAAGCTACATGACGCCAAGGATAACTCATGGAATTGCTAACAGTATCGGATCACTTGTGCAAGTGGATGAGGGCTCTTGTGGTGAAAGGCAAATGTTGGTCCTACGAATTAGAGTTACTCTTAATATTATTATGCCTTTGACTAGACGCTTACAAATCAGACATGAGGGAGATAACTAGATCTGGGCAAACTTTCGGTATGAGAGACTCCCGAACATCTGCTTTCTGTGCGGAATTCTTGGCCATGCTGACCGCTTCTGCCCCCTCTAATCCACATTGTGGTATAGGGATCTTGAAGAAGCCTTGTGGGTCATGGCTAAGGGCTGATATGTGGCGGGGAGGATTGAATCCGGGAAACATGTGGCTTATTCCTAGCAATAACAAGCCAGGAGATAGACGAGACGAAAAAGCAGAGTCTGATAAAATGACAAAGGAACTGGAAAGCTATATGGTGGAAGGACTCTTGTCAAAGGGTAACGAGATTGCTACAACCCAGGACACACCAAGAAAGCGTAGGGTCAGTGAGAACGATATCGAGGTGGGGTACAGGCTAGCATGGATGTGGATGAAGAAACTCCAAAAAATTTGGAAGTGGCGGCATTGTCTGAGCAACGTAACATCGCCAGTAGCAAGAGAGTGCGAGAATAAGAAGGGGGTACCTTTAGCGGAGGCTGGTCAAACCGATGTTCCCTTGGCAATGGCTGGACAAACTGGGTTATGCTCCTCTTTTTTCTCTTTATCATTTCAGAACTCTGTTGTGCATTTTTTAAATTCCCTTTTAGTAGCAGGTACAACATTGCTCTGTATGGAGTCTACCAAATTGCGGGGTTAGCGAGATGGTCCGCTAGTAAGCGTGAATCTTGCTCTGAGTCTCACCCCAATGTAGCCTTTGTTATGGCAAACTTGGATGTGGTTCTCAGTTTTAATATTAATTAAGTTATCTTTCGCCACACACACAAAAAGTGGAAAACAAATTGAATGGTTATTACCTCCATTAGAAATGTAACGTAAAATTAGCTTAATCCTGATTAACACGGAAGCCACAACTCCAAAATAAATTCAAAAGTACGTCCATAATACATCCAGCTAGCCAAGCTAGAAATAAGTCACTGCTAAGAGACATCGTGGGTAATTAAACGGCTTGGATGGGGTAGCATGTAAAGAAAGCAACAAAATGATGATGTGCTTATAATCTATGAATATTTAGACACGAGATTGAAGTTAACTTCAACAATGAGTGAATCATTAACAATGAACTCCTTTGATGAAGTTTTCGATTCGCTAAGTTTCATAAGATTTGGACGGCCCTAGCCACATGCGTCGTCATAGAAATGAGCCACTGCACCATATTAGAATGAGATAGACTAAATAATTAAGATGCGTCTGTTAAGACTCGGGGTTCCATCCTAAAAGGTCAACCTAATAGGAGGAGTAGCCCAAAACCTTATATAGTGTATAATTGTTTTATAGCTTTCCGGTGTGGGACAAATGCTTCAACACGCCCTCTCAGCCCGAACTGGGCTGGACAATATCGGGGTGTATAAACAGGCCAAACAAACCCTTAACAAGCTACCCTTAATCATGGGTGCTAAACAAACCGTCAAACCACAACCGGAATTGGCTCTGATACCATGTTAAGACCCGGGGTTCCATTCTAAAAGGTCAACCTAATAGGAGGAGCAAC